ACTCACCAAAGAAGCTCCATGGTGGGAAAGATTGATCATAAGATAATTTAAAAATATATCCACAAGGGGGCAATCTACACCTTCTTATGAGAAAAAATCTGTACAGAAGATAAATTTACTCATTCGTTCTTGGATTCGTTATCTAATTATTTTTAACTGGTAATTATCTGTTATAGCTTCAGGCGGTAACCCGGGGACACAACAGAGCAACGCTTTCATTCTAGAAGACAAGTCTCTGCATGACAAACTAACGGTTAAGTGAAGAATCAATTTCACTTTCTCTGGGAGAGGAGAGGGATGCAAGAAAAAACCTAAATCTTCCCAATGACACAGCAAAATATAAAGAGGAATTATAGACCCTGTATTGTGAAGGAAAAGCTATCAATCTGACACTTGAAATCACACACCCATCTCTCATATAAATTAAAGGAAATGTGATCATGAATCCTTTATAATTCAATGCCTGCCATCTGTTTGCCGACAGCAATATGTAGTTACACAATACACACTGACAAATTCATCATGATTCGCTATAGTGTGAAAGCGTACCGTCACCCGGCAGTGCAGCCAACTGCACACCGATTGCATGTCTTGTTGAGAAGTTCTCTCCATAAATAATCTCGTCCACACTGCACGTTCTGTTTGTTTTATTTGTACAGATCAATAAATCCCAGTTTACATTATGACATCAGGAACAGCGGAGGGGCTGACAGTTATTCAGCTGGTGAAGCCTGTGTCTGCTGTGCTCTCTAGACGGCGGCAGGTCAGACAGTTTATCTAAGAAGAATTTAGGCTTTCCGCACAGAGCTGGCTGTCCTCTTACTGGAAAATGCCTAGAGCATACAAGCTCCCATGAGGCTGGGTAATAGTGTGGTCATCTGTGGCTTGAGAGAAAAATCTAAAAAGTGGCTGTTTTCTGTCAGAGCTAGGAATTTTTAGGGAATGCACCACTTGTGTTAAAAAAAAAAAAAAAAAATCAGATATACAGGTTTGGTTAACAGACATGTTAAAACAGAAAACAAACTTCCTTCATAAATAAGACATTAAATTATACACATATTTATAAAAATAAAGTAAGATCTAAAATGAACTTCAAGTTATGAAGGCTTGCTGTCTGCTGGTACATAATGGCGAAGGTAGGCCTTTCAGTGCAAGCTCACCACTGTACATCTATTAAGTGTTTTCAAAGAGGAGTTACACCTGCAAGCTCCTCTTGTATGAAGACCAGGTGTTTTCAGTCTGTCAAAAGGGAAATGCTGTGGGGGCGTTCCTGCAAAAGCAGAGCTGCACATGATTCTTTATTTGCTTCCTGTGTAATTGCTCACAGTCACACTGATGAGGACAGTTCCCTGTGCAGTCTTCAGTTCCAGAAGTACTCCAGAAGGTATCTGATTAAAACATTGAAACTGTACTCAAAATTCAAACGGCTGAAGAAACACGTATGCAAGAACGTGTGACCTTGTGTTAACCACAATGCCTGTCACTCAGAGATGATTCCAGCTTCAGGAACTAGCTATATACAGAGGTTCATATACACCACTGTCAGACCACCTTTCTAAAATGGCCCCCGCTCCTCTGTCAGGGTCCGGAGCTCAGTGGTACCCATTCTGCAACCCCTTTGTGAATTCGTGTATGAGTTAGGACAGCAAGCACCTCTGGATCCCAAGTGGGATTGAGATTTTTTTTAGCCCTCATTATAGACTTTTTTTTTTTAAATTCTCTCTGCTTTATCCATACTTGGCATCCACATTGTGGGCGGATATCCTGGGCAGGTAGCCTTGGTGGAAGAAGGGGTGTCGCGAGGCCTCCATGCAGATGACCGAGCTGGTCAGGCTCTTGCGGTCCTTCTTGAGGGCTGTGGGCCTCTGCCACTGGCACAGAAGCAGCTCCACCTGCTCGCGGAAGAAGCTGGTGGTCAGGGTGTAGAGGATGGGGTTCAAGGCACTGTTGATGGGCAGGAAGAAGATCACCAGCCAGGAAGTTATGGTCCCTGTGAAGAACAGGGGCAGAGAGACACCCGATAAGACCTCTGTGGATGGGATGGTCAGCTTCCCCCCCAGAAAAACCACCTTTAAGGACAGCTTTAAAATATAGTACAGTCAGCCTAAAAGGCACCTTGAGCGGTTTTGATGAGGCAATAAAATTCAGGGGAAGTCTTCGGCTGGATGAGGCAAGCATTGATAACTCGGCCTTGAAACAGCTATTGAATTGACAGGGGGCAGTCCCAGTCTGTACTGCAATTCTACAGCAGCATTAAATCTGAGCGTGTCGAGGAGAATCGCTGATATAAAACCACCCAACCATTCCTCAGCTGTGCATTCACTGAAGAATTAAATTTCCTCTTCAGGACCTGAATGTATCCAGGGCGTAACACGAATAAGTGGTTGAGATACTTTTCCCTTGCAGAGCTTCAGCTTTTAACTGACCACATTTACACGCACTGTAATATTCCAGCATTAGCCCAAGTGTTTAAAAATTCACAATATGACAAGAGTTGAGCACACGTCTCATCTGCGATAAAACATTGAGAGCATGGCAGTATTCCAAATACAAGGACGTCAGATAAGATATTTGGAATACCGAGTTGTCTAACGGAATATTAATGCACGTAAGTATGTTCCTAAATATTTGACACTATATGTATATACATTTTCACAGGGAAAAGAACTATGGATGGAGAGTGATTCTGTCACGAAGATGCTAGGTAACAGAATCAAACCACAAGTTACATCATTTATGCAAACATATTTAGCTGGTAATTAGCATTATTAGAGCACTTCATATCATATTCATTTACCACAATGTATTCATAAAACAGAATTAATTAAATTACAGAGGAGATAAAAATTAGCAGTAGGTTTGAAGTAGGCCATTTTGCAAAAGAGCAAACAATAATGCCCCTTTGCAAATGCCATCATTTTCAGGGGGAGTAATGTGAGGTGGTGATAATTTTATCAAAAGTTTTGCAGTTCAGAAAAGCTCAGCTAATTAAATGAGATTCACAAAGACCACAGTGTACAGTTGACTTATTTTCTATTACAGTACTGTTTCCTTTCCTACCCAGCTGTAAAGATTTGGTGAGGTTCACTGATGTTTTTTTTATGAAGTTGTGATATGATCTCCCACAAAGGCCTAGATCGCTCAGAATACGTTCACGTTCTTGTCAGCAGTTGTAGTTGTATTTTGCTGTGCATGGAAACAGCGTAAGATCATATGTCTTCTGAAATCTGTGCAGATGTAAACTTGGGCACTGGGGGAATTTAGTTATGAATTTGATTAAGATTAATGCAGGGAAATAAACAAAAAATTGCAGCAAAGTTGTGTTTTTGTTCAAGACAAATATTAGCTGCCTGCTTTATGTTCCATTTAGCAAAACACATCTGAGTGCAAGCTCTGTGACTTTTCATTTAATAATCCAGCTCCTGTAAATGTGTATTATAGGGCTTGCTCTTGTAATACAAAGCCTTACTTGCCCTTTGAGGAGATAGCTGTCAGAAAACATCTTCTCCTCACAGCTTGAGGGGAGGATGCAACCTACCTTCCACAGCAATAAATTCTGAAATTTCCTCCACAGCAAAAATACAGATTTCCTTACACAGCAAAAAAAGAAGGTTGTTAGGGAGGGAAAACATGCCGCTTTCATCCCATCTGCTAATATTAGCTGACTAAGAAGACAATAATATCACTGACTAGAAAAGATGACTGTATCAGAGAACTTGGGGGTGCCCTGCACAATTTATGCTGACATTAGAGTCCCTGTACTGTGAGTGATTGATAAGAAAAACTAACATCTTGACATGAGGGAGCTGGCCTTTGACTGCCTTCTCCCCCGCAGCTCCACAGGCAGATCAAAAATTCAGCCCACGAAGTAGCCAGCCATGGGTGTGGGGCTCTGCACCTTAGGGGCCACAGAGGAGCCCACATTGAATCAGGTCAGAAGGGGGCTTTGGATATGGATCTCGCCAACCTCTGGGCAAAATGTCAGCACGTATCTTTATCTTCCTCACTGTCAGGGAGGAAGGGCCAAACATGCCCATCTTAGCAAATAATTGGATCAATGCAAGAGGAAAGGAGAAAAGGGGTGGACAGGGGGACCTGATCCATCTCTGTGGAGTGGCAGATAGCGGGCAGTAAAAGTTTCCTGCCAGCCCTGCACGCTGTGGGGGAGAAGCAGGCACAGGCTCCCGCGTCCAGCTGGATCCGGTCCAAACCGCCCATGGCTAGATGCTACCGGACAGGTGCTCCCTTGTTCCCATCAGTACAAAAAAAAAGTACGAAAATAAATAACTATACTGATGGGAGTATGATAAGTTGCAAAGCTTTAAACACTTAGAGGTGACCTCTGTGAGCACAGCTGATGAATAATTCTGATTAAAGTAATATGAGCCTGTACGCACATCCATGGGCTGTCAGCGGCGGGGAGAAAAATAAAACGTAAGGCCTCCGAATCATCCTTTATTGAAATTCACCCCAGCGTGTTCCACCCGTGCCGAAAAAGCAAGGATTAAAGCAGTGTGCGGGCAGGCGTTCTTTTTTGTAACAGAGCGAACGATTCTGACACAGACGCGAAACATCCCGTGCGCAACCGACCTGGGATCTCCACCTCCAGCAGGGAGAGCAGCTTGACCAGGAAGATGGGGATCCAGCAGAGGGCGTCGGAGATCACAATGAAGAAGAAGCGCTTGGCCAGGGCCACGTCCTTGTGCAGCCGGCTGCGCAGGTCGGTGGCGTTGATGCCCGTCTTGTAGATGGAGCAGAACATGCTGGAGTAGGACACCACGATGACGAGGAAGGCCACCAGGTTGAGCCCTACACACGCACAGGAAGCGGGGTGAGAAATGTGACATCACACTGCCAAATTCCATTACTGTCATTTAGCAGACACTTTTGTCGGGAGCGACTCACATAGCTTACAGTTTTACATGTTATCCATTTTATACAGCTGGATATTTACTGAGGCTTTTGTGGGTTAGGTACCTTGCTTGAGGACACAGCAGCAGTGACCCAGAGCGGAATCAAACCAGCAACCTTTTGGTTATGAGCCCTGCTCCTTACCACTGTGCTACACAGCAAATGCTTCACATTCAAATTAACATTTTAAAAACAGGGATATATTTAGGGCATATTTATCTGTCTGTGAGCCCCTAAATTAGATTATGACAAATAAACCTCATATTTCGACTCTACTGAAACTGTTGGCTTGGAACAATGGAATTTCGCTTGCACTGCATTCTTACCTTTATGATAAAGTGCTAGACATGGAGGGGCAGCGGAACTCACCCAGGAATATGCCTGTGGAGTAGCCCTTTGCGGTCGGCTTCTCCAGCTGATCCGAGTGCAGCGGGAAGCAGACGCCGTTGCGGCCGTAGTAGTTCCCGAAGAGCTCGTCGCCGAGCAGGGGCACGGCGGCGATGAGGACGCCCAGGGCCCAGACGGAGGCCAGCATGAGCAGGGTGAGCCGCTTGCCCGGCCGCAGGTGGCTGAAGGGGAAGACGATGACCAGGAACTTCTCCAGGGTCAGGTAGGTGAGCAGCAGGACGGACACCTCCGAGGACAGCATGGCCAGGAAGCCCAGGGCACGGCACTCCCCGCTCTCCATCCACAGCTGCGCGTTCCTGTTGTACTTCCCCCGGAACTTCATGTCGTACACCCCCACGAAGAACAGGTACACCCCCATCAGGCAGTCCGCACCTGTGCGGGACGAGAGGAGGGGGCGCGTGACGCAGCTGGGGAACCTACCAGGAGCCTGTGAGTTCAGATCCCCCTCTTGCGTTTTACGACTGGGCACTGTATTAATGGATAATATGTAAAATGTGAGCTGTACAGATTTCCCCAGTCAAACAGTGAGCTAAGCAAATAAATAATGAAAGCGAAGGGGGCGGTAGAAAAAAAGCAGTTGAAGCAATTAGTGGTTTATGTGCTGTGATGGCATTTTGACCTCTGAAAAAATTGCCAAAACTACCAATTACATTACAATTCAAACTATTAATTTAAGGGTTGTCAGGTTCAGATCACATACTCACTAACAAACGGACAACCTTGTTAAAAAAAATCCCAGCAATTTACAATTCTATTTTTTCCCTCCTTGTATGTTCTGAGTGACACTAGTTCAAATTGTATTTGTTTATACACACTGTTGCTAAAGCAGAGATATTTATCCTCCAGTTGTGAAATTTTAATATGGTGCAGCATTTCACTCAGCTTCTTTACCAGGCAGTAATGTCAGGGACAGAATGAACAATGAGTTGTGATGTTAAAAAAAGAAGAGATGCTTCTCCAGCTCAACGGGTCCAATGAATGGTAATCTCCTGCACTTGGGGTTAGCGTGCGGTAAGGAGAATCCAAAGAATTTCAATTCCACCTGCTGTCTACTTCGGGCACCGAAGAAGTAACCCCATGACATATAAAATTAGACTCAAAAGGAATGACAGGCTGGAATATATCACTGTGCAGTTCACAAATGTGATACGCAGCACAAAAAAAAAAAAAAATCAATGAAAGCTTCACTACTGCAAGGCAAAGGTCGCTCAGTTTTCATTCTTTGTAATTTTTTTTGTTGCTGTCTGAGCACTGTATGTCTCTCCACTGTTTGCTTGTCAGTGGTAGTCTGTTACCGAAAATCAGCCGCAACACTCTGAAAACAAGCCCTCTGTCAAACACAACGTTGACCGACACCTCAGTTTGGAAACAGAAAACATGCTAAGCGAGCCCTGTAGTCCTCTCACGTCGATCCAAACTGAGCTGCCCTTGCGGTCAGAGGGGCATGCCCCTGAAACCGCACACACAATGACGATGTGGGGGAGCGGGAACGGGTGGGTGGGGAGGGGGCAGAGGGTTAAATAATGAGCCGGGGGTTCTTGTACAGAGAAAACCCAAGTCAGGGGAAGGACAGTGACCTGAAGCTAGGCTGCAGACAAACTGACAGCTACTGTCAGCGGACCAGAGACCTGAGGTTGCAATGCTAAGTGAAGGCCTGTCTGCTTGGGAGGCTTCAGCACGTGCTAAGAGAGCAGATCGACCCGCCTGTTGGATCAATCACCTCTCACCCAGGCAATTGCTGTCTGGCTGGTAGTAAACACCAAGCGCAGAGGCAATGATACCACACTCGGCACAGTGCAAGTGCGTCTCTATCATGCTGGAGTAACAAAAAAATCTTTGGCATGCTGGGAAAATCGTTACCGGAGTTGTGTGGAAGAGATACCGTTTTGGGTTTGAGGACATTTCCCGTTTACATGATAGGATGCCCTGCCTCAGTTGGCTGTGTGTTTTTGTCTCACACACATCGTCTCTGTCTCCTCACCTCACAAGATGCCAGTTCAGACACTTACTCTTTGGTCATGAAGTCTTTTTCATTAATAAAAGCATGCGCCACATCCCCCTGATAGAAAACTTTCCTGAATGATTACCTTCTCTGGAACACAGTGAAACGTTAGCTTCTTTATCTGCTGTGCACATGCTGATCACTGAGATATAGGGAAGATAAAACTGAATATGAGGTACTCTAAGGCTGATGTGCTCCAAATCTTCAAAGGACTCCTTACCGCTCATGTTCTTGGACTAAACAGAGCACCAAGCTGGACTTACTTTTTAAAAGACATGGTCCAAAAACAACAGGAAATATCCACACTAATGAATGCTGTCTATACAGGTCTGCCAGGAAGTTCTGTGCCAAATTAGTAGATGGGAGTGTCAATGAAGCAATTTCTGCTTTTCTGTTTGGGTGTCATTCCCCTGTTATAACCACAAGACAGTGTTATTGCTCTTCCATACTGGAGTTACTGAGCTGCAGAGGTGCTGCCAATTTGTCTGCTTAACTGTGGAAGGGGGTGGCTCTACCCTGGCAGGCTCCAACTAAATCGACTTCTTGTCACTGAAGCTTTTGACTACAGAGGCAGCACCCTAAAGCCAGTCGGACTGCGATGGAGTGTTCCTAAATACAGGGTCTGGGCTAGGCTCACTCACATACACCCCCAAACCAGAAGGTGGCAGTGATCACAGCCTAGAATCACTCAAATACACCCCAAACCAGAGCGTGGCAGTACAATCAGCCTTGCCTCACTCACATACTCCCCCAAACCAGTAGGTGGCAGTATTCATACCCTAGCTTCACACACATACACCCCTAAACAAGAAGGTGGCAGTACTCACAGCAAAGGGCCTTGATGCACGTGGCGTGCAGGCTGTTCTCTGCCCGGATGACGGTGCGCATGCCGATGACGAAGATGTTCCCGAAGCAGGTGATGAAGGCCATCACCCACACAGACACCCGCAGGACCATGTTGGCCAGCAGGTCCTCGAAGGACGAAATCCCGTCCGAGTTTGGCTTGCACTTGCGCACGTGAGGCGCATAGGAGCAGTACTGAAACTTCTTGAAATATCTGAAATTGCAAACAAAATCACAGCTGTAACCACACAACAGAAAATGACAGGTAAGCTATTTCATCAGGACCACGAAATGACATGGGAAATTGTGCCCAACGAGGAGACTAAGGTGTATTCAGTATCCATTTGTGTAGCATTGTATGTGCTGTCAGAATAAAACTTTTGCTTTTCAGATGGTTCAGTTGGAACAGTGGACAGACCAATTACGCTCCCATAGGCTATCTGATGTAGCTAACATTTTCATTCTCAGCAAAGTACACCTTTTCAGCAGTATGTTATTATACCTGTGGCAAGCTATGGGTGAAAGCAGAGAGAGGGCTTTTTCCATTAGAATTATGATCAATAAAGTAACAGGTACTGAAGCTAGATACAGGTACTGGAGCAGCAGTGTGGTGTAGTGGTAAGGAGCAGGGCTCCTTGGCTTAGCTCCCTGCTTGGGCACCACCATTGTACCCCTGGGTGAGGTCTCCAAACCTAAAATTGCCTCTGTAAATATCCAGCTGTATAAATGGAGGAATTGTAACCTACATAAGTTGCTCTGAAAAACAGAATCTGCTAAGCAAATAAATGTAAAAGCTAAACTCATAAGAGCTGTACTGCGCCTTTGTTTCAAGATGTAACCCTTGCTCATTTGGCACCAAAAAATACTACATTTGTTTGTTGTCCTTTTCATGGATCCAACCATTTTATCCATATTTCCAAGTGTAAACGAGTAAGAAATGACCAACAGACAGTTCAACAATTTATATTGGTTAGTTTCAACACATAGTGGACTGCATAATAAATACATAACCATAACAACAAATCTTCTCATGTCATTCTCATTTTGTTATACCCTTTTTCTGTGTGTTACCTACATATAGGAGAGGTTCTTCATCGGCCTAAACATTCGCATATGAATGCCTGGGATCTCGATACCTTCCAGGCCCCTGAATGAAAAAAAAAACATTTATTTAGTATTCCTATATTAGTATTCCTCATTTCACTTCAGCTGATGAGCCAATGCATCACCTTCCTGTGTCTGATTCCAATTCATCAACCCTGCGCTAAACTGCTGGGAAGCCCTGCCTGATATGAGTGCCGGCTGATGCCAGCTGTTTGTTTTTGCTCATTTGCGATCTCCACTCCTGCAAATGACATGGCCTCACTCCATTAATTCAGCTCATCAGAAGCAAATCCTGAGCATACCAGCCTTTCAAAATAAGAGCGGTGTCAAGCACATGGGGTTGGGGGTAATCATTTGCCTGTTGAAAAACACCCCAGGCAGGTTCCAAAAACGGTGTTGGACACACTCAGAAATTTAGCAGGGATCTACAAGGCTTTCCCGTTCTATTTGTCTTGGCGTAGGGGGTGAAATTGCAGTCATTACATGGCTGTTAGAAAAGCAGTGTTTACAGAAGAGAGAGGAAATATACAAGCAGCATCTAATTTTGTTTTACTCACAAGGACTGGAGCTGGATGAGGTGATCGAACTGACCCTGGTGGATACGGACCAAAGGATTGTTGGATACGTTTCTGAAGTGAAACAGTTATTCCCACAATCAATTATTCCCACAGCTGTGAAGGTGTAGGAAAAAAATCTTTTACTAATAAACCCTCTTCTGATGACAAGGTGGTGTACTATACTGTGGAAACCCAGGTGTATATAATGACGCACAGGCATTTCCTGTTTTATTGATGATGTATGTGT